CCCCAGGCAGGGTAGGGCCCTCAACGGGGGCTCCCCAAAGTCCACCAAAACCCAAATTTTATTGACTGTGTCATTTGTGATGGGAAGAATTATGACAATTCTGTGCCATACCTTAAGGTGGAAGCCCACAGAAATGGACAAGGAAGAAGGAAGCTTTTGGTTTTAGCCTGCTTGCCCTCACCCTTGCTGGCAAGTTCCGTCTATCCTGTTTCCAAGGCATTCCTTCCCCAATACTAGAACCTACTTCTTTAGGATTCCAATGTAGATTGCAGCCCAGTGGCTCTCTGGGAATCTTCTGGCACTCCAACACCAGATTGGGACTGCTGAACAGCTACCAGATTTCTGGTCTTTAAATTGTTGGATTACATGGAACACAGACTGCATTTAAATCCCACCCTCACGAAAAGTAAGAACAAACACACACACACACACACACACACACACACACACACACACACACACACACCACATTCAATCAGTTCTGTTCCTTTACAGCATCCTGATTAATACAAGTTCTGCCTCCACTTGTTTCATGAGGGCAGGCCAAAGGTTAGAAGACAAAAGATGCAGTTGCCTGAAAAGATGAAGATGGCAAACATTAAGTCAGAATAGTGAGCTAGGGCTGATCGGAATGTTAATCAAATGGCTATGTAAGTTACAGCCATGAGTGGAGCTCTGACATAACAGCCTTGGCAAAGCTCCACACTGTGGGAGTTGTCATCAACACCTCTGAAGAGTATGCACAGAATGGGTCACCGGTAGGATGTGGAGTTCTGTGAACCAGAATAGCCATCATTTGTTCCCTGTGGTAGGGCCTCACAGCCAGTGACCCACATCAGTGACTTGTCTTTGGTTGGCCACTCTTCTTTTATCTGAGCTCTGTCCTGTGTGCAGACATACCTAAACACTGTCTACTTCTTCCACTGTGTCTGGTTTCTTAATTCCTGCTCACTCCTAACCCCCCTTTTAGATTTCTTTTTCATTCTGATGATTCTCATTTTCCCCACTCAATGAATTTTTTTCATCTCTCTGTGTGTGCATGGTGTTCATGGGGGTGGGCATGGAGACAGACATGAGTGTCTTCACCTTATTTACCAAAGTTTCTTGCTGAGCCCAGAGCTCACTGAGTCTGGCTAGTCTAGCTAACCAGCTTGTCCTAGCAGTCTTTTGTTTCCACGTACCAAATGCTGGGATTATAGGTGGGCCACCATATCCCTCAAGCTTTAATGTGGTGCTGGGATTTGAACTCTAGTTCTTATATTTGCAACAAACACATCATCTACCAAGCCATCTTCTCAGTCTCTCAGTGAAATTTTAACACTACAAATATTTCAAACATTTATTCACATACTATGGCCCTTCAGAAGGCCATAGACCATGATAACAACTAAGCTTTGTCTGTTTCACAGAAACCATTTTTTGTCTACTCTCAGGACAATGTCACCCATATTGAGTATGCACGTGTCTAAGCCCCCCCACTCTGCTTATATACATCAGACCCTGTCTCCCAGTTTCAAGCATCAGTTTTGATAGATATACCCCGTCACTTCTGTTAAAACAAAATCCATAAAGCTCATGTTTTGTTTATGCATGCAATAACACTTTAGGGTTCTACTAAAATTCAGAAATGTGGAAGAATTGCTTTAAAAAATACTGTCTGTGATAATGCGCTGTTCTGTGTGTTTTACACAGCCATGCTCTGTATGACAAATTCTTTGCTTCGCAGATCAGAACACCGGAGTTCATATGACCCCTGATGGTCAGCATCAGAGCCCAGAAGGAATGCACCTTACCTGACTCCAGGGGCATGGCCCTTGTGTAAGCCACTCATTGTTGTTGTGTCAAAATATGGTGTAGTGCATGGCTGTTGTATTCCATTGCTGTGGTGAAGTAAAGCAGCATGGACACAGGATGATATGGAGTAACAATGCTGTTTGCCTCAGGATGGTACCATGTAGCAATGCTGTTCACCTCATGGCTGCCAGGAAGCAGAAAGAGAGAGAGACAAAAGAAGAGGAAAGGGTTATAGGCGCGATATGCCCTTCAACCCAGCCCCCACCCCCACCCCACAGTGACCAAGTTCTTCCAATCAGGCCCCATGTCCTAGTTTCCATCTCTCAATCACGCCATCAAATTATGAAGCCATCAGTGGATTAATCTCTTGATTAGTCGGACCTTTCTGATCCAAACATTTCCCCAAAGTCTGACTAGACTGGTGACTAAGTCATCAGCACCAGAGACTTGGGGATTATTTGTAGCCAAAGCACAATAG